GCGCCGGATTAGAATGCATCACAGGCGGCTCCGAGGAATCGTGCTGGGAACTCCACGCACTCTTGTGGCGGCTCGAGGACGCGGGAGGGAAGCAGGAAAAGAGGGAAGGGGGAAGGAGGAGAAGAGAAAGGGAGGAAAAGGGGAAAGGGGAAGGGGGAAGGGGGAAGGAGGGAAGGAGATAGGGAGGGAAGGAAAAGAGGGAAGGGGGATAAAGGAAAGGAGAAAGGGAAAGGAAAGGAGAAAGCATGGAAGGGAGAAGGATGGAGGAGAAGAGGAAAGGAAGATAGGGGAAGGAGGGGAAGGAGGAAAAGAGGGAATTAGGAAAGGAGGGAAGGAGAGGAGGAGTAGAGGGAAGAAGGGAAGAAGGGAAGAGGAAGGAGGGAGGAGGGAAGAGGGAAGGTAGGAAGTGAAGAAGGAAGGGCGGATGAAGGAGAAAGAAAGGAAGAAACACGTCTGTGGTAGTCGTGTCCGTGCATGGTAGTCCCGATAGCGGGAGGCATAATAATGGTGACGATGACAAAGAATGAGAAAAGAATAATAACAACCAAATCAGCAGTAGGCCTACTAGTAATAATAATAACCTTAGTGATAATATTGATAATGATAATAATGATGATGATGGCAATAATGGTAATGATAATAATAGCAATATCGGCAATAGCAATAATGATGATGAAAATAATGATAATAATAATAATAATAACAATATATTAACAATAATAATAATAATAATAATTATAATAATAATAATATAATGAAAATAAAAACAAGAGTAATAACAATAAAAACAATAACTGCAATAACTAAAATAAAAACGATATTGACAATTATTCTTAACATGATGAACGACAATTGTTGTAAAAATAACTACAGAAATAGTAATGAAAATAAACAAATTTACCGTGATTTACATGTGGTGATAATGGTGCGTGCGTGCGTGCGTGTGTGTGTGAGTGTGTGTGTGTGTGTGTGTGTGTGTGTGTGTGTGTGTGTGTGTGTGTGTGTGTGTGTGTGTGTGTGTGTGTGTGTGAGAGAGAGAGAGAGAGAGAGAGAGAGAGAGAGAGAGAGAGAGAGAGAGAGAGAGAGAGAGAGAGAGAGAGAAAGCGATCCTAAGACGAGCCCGGAGGCTGGCAACAAGACAGCGTACTTTGTGTAAATCTCGCAGGGAACGGAGCAGTCATTTGCAAGTTGCAGCTTAGAAATGCAGGAGCTTCACCCGAGGAGAAATTAACGCAGCGGACCCATTCCGCCGTTTCCATTACCGGCACAAATATTTAAATTGCATTTGCCTTCCGTCTTGAAATTTTGCGCCCGAACCCGCGAGCCAAAATGCCTGTAAACAAGGTAAGGCAAAGCGTCCGGCAAGTCGCTCCGGGCTAGCCATTATTGCTTCTTGCAAAAGATGCACAGGAAGCACGTCGAGGCAAATTGCATCCGGAGAGCTTCTGGAGCCCTGCAGCGTCGCCGCTCAAGTTGCAGCCCGCAAAATATTGCCTCTTGAGCGTGAGGTGGGTACAGACGCCGAGAGTGGAACGGCATTGCATATGACGAATGCAACATTATTGATTCGCAGGTTGTATAACAACCAGGTGAATAAAACAGCTAGCACTTGAATCGGGCTACTAAACTCACGGGCAACTCCCCCTCCTAGTACGGACCGGCCGGCCCTGCAGTCCTATTCGCTACTTTCCGCATGCACATCTGCTCTGTGTCTGCGAGCAGAACTTCATCTGCCTGTCCGTCTCTGCCAGAGCCATTCGTCGTTTGTTGCTACCCGAAAGCCGTCCTTCGCGTGGCCCACTCTCGCAACGCCCTCAGCCGAATCCAAAATAATAACAGCGGTGAATTCCAGCTTACAATTATCGGCGCTTATTTCGGGCACTTTCCCAGGTAACAAATACCAAGCATGATTGGTAGATGACCCAAAAATTGGTAGGAAAAAGGGACATTGGAAATAACGCCACATATCAAATGAGATTCGGTCGTCATATGTTCTGAGTTTGATCAGCTAAATCCCTCCTAATGTTAAAGCATAATGGAAAGGGTTTATGCACCGTGTTGCAACAATTTGCAAACTTTTCTAGTGCACAAATTATTGGTGTTGCCGGGGAGTCAGGGACGGCGTGGCCGCCTCTCGCTCAGCACCAACACTGACCAGACGTGGCACGCGCGTTTTGTATTAAAAAAAGTTTGAGTGACGCTTCCAATATCAATGATGAGCCCGAATATTATGGCTGTTAATCCTGATTATGGCAAACACGCGTGAAAATTAAATTCCAGCCTATAATCAGCGAAATTAACTGATGATAACAACGACGGAAATGCGGGGACCAGACGCACACTCGCACGCCAGGGACGGGGTCCTTTTGCGACGCGATTTAGTGCGTGAACTGCGGCCATGAGTGAAGCGGAGCCTCCATCCCCTCCAACAACATGTCACCACCACACCCAGAGCGCGACAGTTACAGCTCTACCTACACTTCTCGGCTTACAGGCCCCTTTCCATCTCCCTGCTCTCCAGGCTGTCCACTGCGTCTAACCTGCGGGGCATTTCTCACTGCCTTGTTCGACAAAAAGGGAACAAAATAATTTGGAGCAGTCATTAGTTTTATCTACACTACGATACCACAATATATTTGATTAAATTATAAAACCCCACTATCCCAGCTGCAAAAGAACTCATTCATATTTTGAACAAGAAAATAAATCCGTGTCCGCCAGGTGAATAAAGAGCATACCAACACTTATAAAAAACTTTTTTGTTCATCCACAGTGATATAGCACAATTTGTTGAAGGTCACTCGTTATCAACACCATACGAAGCACGCAAAGGAATAACTATAGCTCTTGACGTAATACCAAATTCCAGCATATTCTTCAATACCAAATGCCCCCCCCCTCTCACGAGAACCCACCCCTGCAACCCCGCCCCCTTCCCCCCCTGAATCTCCCCGCCGCCTCCCCCCCTCCCCCCTGCCACCCTCCCTCCACATTCCGGCGGCCACAAAAAGGCTGCATTGTCGTCGACTGGGGACGAATCCGAGGGGCGATCATTTTTGGACACTGTAATTAAAGTAAGAAGTGGAAACGATACTAAGCTGCTGCGCGACCTCAGATTCTCCAGGATTATTCAAGAGTGTGCGCGCCATTTCAGATTGTTTCATGAGGAAGCCAGCTTCGTGTTGCTTCAGTAGGGGTAGTGTGGATCATTCATCTATATGTATATTATGCGTGTATATATGCATACATACATACATACACACATACATACATACATGCATGCATGAATGCATACATACATGCGTCTCTCTCTCTCTCTCTCTCTCTCTCTCTCTCTCTCTCTCTATATATATATATATATATATATATATATATATATATATATATATATATATATATATATTGACATAGAGAGAGAGAGAGAGAGAGAGAGAGAGAGAGAGAGAGAGAGAGAGAGAGAGAGAGAGAGAGAGAGAGAGAGAGAGAGAGAGAGAGAGAGAGAGAGAGGAGGGGGGAGGGGAAGGGAGAGGGAGAGGGGAGAGGGGAGGGAGGAGAGAGAGAGAGAGAGAGAGAGAGAGAGAGAGAGAGAGAGAGAGAGAGAGAGAGAGAGAGAGAGAGAGAGAGAGAGAGAGAGAGAGAGAGAGAGAGAGAGAGAGAGAAAAGTCAACAAAGAAAAGAACAAGGGACCGTCGACCACACATGTCCTTAAACACGCAGTTCCAGCGGGGCGCATGGCTGCAAATTCGAGTGAATGGCAAATATATGTAGATGGCCCTGCGGGAGAGCCTCCCCACGCAGCCAGACTGCATCCGCCGCGCGCCGTCTCGACCCAACCTTTCTGGCTTGGGCGAGCGCAAGCCTCAGAGAATCGCCTCCCGGACTTTCTTCAAGTCCCTCTCCGGACCAGTGCTCGCACTCTGTTAATTCTCAATTGCAAATTCTAGTCCCTGAATTAGCAATGGAAATCAGATGCAAATTCTGAAGAATATTCATATGATTCCTCCGGGCGACGGAGACAGAGGTGTTGGTTTTTACAAGTGCGATCCGGAGAGGCCGAAGGGTGGCCCCCCTTCCTTCCCTCTCCCCCGACCCCTCCGGCATTCAACCTCGGCCTAAAACTTGCTTCAATATCCGGGCTCTTTCAACCCTCATCCTAAACCTCCCTAGACACTTTAATTTCACTTCCTTCCTTGGCTTCACTTAAATTTCAATCGTTCTCCTTCAAGTAAATCTTAAGGCTTTTCTTCCAACTCTACCCTTACTTCCCTTTCCTCTTCTTCTCCCATTTCTCCCACTCTTCTCTTCTTCACCTAATCTCTCGTTTCTCTTGCCCCGTATTTGCATGGTCCGTCCATAAATCTTATGATATATTCCAGATGTTTTTCTTTTCCTTTTAAAATCTTTGTCATTTCCAACATCCGCAGCCATTTCCATTCTTTCACATAAACACACTCCTATCTAGCAACACCCCCTACTTCTCTTTCCCTTCTCTCGTTTAGACATGTTCCATCCCACTTTCCCGTCTTCATGATTTCAACGTTAGATTTATTTCCTCTTCTCCCGTATTCTCCCTAAAACACCTACAGAAAAAATGTTTACCTCAAACCTCATATCAATTCATTGTGAATCCGCCACCCTTCCACCGGCTCCCAAACCCTTGCCTTCGTGCAGCTAAGAAAACGATGCTTTAAATAGATATCCTGGAAGATCACCAAGGCCCAGCATCGATTGCTCCTCTTAATATGGGAAGCTGTATTTCTTGAATTTCACATTACCCCATCATGAACATTTACTAAATCACGTATATAAAGATATATTTCTCTCTCTTTTAGAAATCATAGAGAACAATAAGGAACTTATTCGAAGCGGTGGCTCAACAACTGAATATATATGTAACTTGAAATTTCGGCTAGATGCAAGCGCATTTTAAAAATAATATACGGTCTACCGAGCTTTTCATGAGCGAGTAATGCAAACCAAATGAATAGAAATAAATAGAATCAAACAGTGTAGTAACTGAGATGAGCTGAGAGGGTATAGTCATGATCATGTTTTTTTTTCACTGTGATAATAACAATTTTATACATGCTGCATGGTATAGCATGGTGCATATTGCTTGCCCAACAACTAAAAGGCGAACAAAGCATGGACTATGAGAGGGAGAGGGAACCTACCCTGTTCTGGGCCCGGGGGGACTACGGGCCTCAGACCACGCCCCTCGACCATGCCCCTTGAACTAACAGTGACCAACCGACTCTCACCCAATCCAAGCGACGGAATGATTGGCTGAGCAGCCTCGAGGGGCGGGGCTCTGGTGGCGAAGGGCGTCCTCATAGGCTGGGCAGAGAGCGTGGAGGAGCCGGATTGGTGGGCGGGTTCAGGCGAGAGGATTTTCACAACATATGGAGATTGTGGAGTAGAGGAAGACTTGAGTTGTAGCAGACAGGCGGCGGCATTTTGGTCATCCAGACTTAATGAGGCCTTTGAAGAACCTTTCGATTCCTTCGCTCTGGGCGACTTAAGCACCGAAAAATCGAAGCTCTTCACTTCACTCTTGGTCTGCAGCTCCTTCATACTTCCCTCCGACCTGTGCTTGCTGGGTAGAGAGAGGTCCAGCTCACGCAGTTCGCTCTCGTCTTCAACGATGCGCATCTCGTTGCTGGTGTCGTCGTCGTCATCATCGTCGTCGTCATCGGCGAAGCAGTCGTTCGACCCGACGGTCTTGTTGGCGTCGTCGGAGATCTCCGAGCCGTCGTCGCTGGTCTGGCTCGTGGGAGTTCCTCGGGGTTTAGACAAGTCCTGCGGACCCTCGTCCTCACACGCTGGGTCCGGCATGCCCGTCCTACTGCTTGAGCGCTTTACATTTTCAGTTGATTTGCCTCTCCCAGCACTTTCTACTTCTTCTCCTCCTTCCCGCACTTCTCTTTCCTCCTCATCTTCTTGGCCTCCTCCTTCAGGAGTGCATGATGAATCGTTGGAGTCACTAGAGGTCTCTGTCGTAACCTTCCCCGCCACGCGTTCACTGTCTTTCTGCGTCTTCAGGAGCTCCTGTGCTGCCATGAGATTCTGGAAGGGAGAAGGCTTGAGTTTGTGCGTCAGGAAGGGACGGGACTGAGCGCTAGAGGTCGACGCTGGGGCGGCGCCGAACCTCCCCGCCCTCGCCTCGATCCAGCGAGAGAGGAGGGCGTCTCGTGGATATTGACTGGCGTCGGAAAGTTCCTTCTGCAGCCGCTCCGAGTCCTTTAGAGATTTCGCGTCCTTAAGCGAAGAAGGGCCTTCGCGGGAGGCCTCGGCGAGCTCATCTTTAGGAGGATCCGATAACGATTTCTTAGTGGGAGTGGTGGTGGTACTGGTGGTGGTGGAAGAGCTGGTGGAAGAAGTGGCAGTGGCGACGTCAGCTTTGTCCTCCGTTAACGGCTCGGCGGGACCACCTTCCGGCACTTCCGCGGTGTCGTTTCCCTGCTCGGTGAGCGAGTCCGTGGCGCCTCCGCCGCGCTCCTTGTCCTCGTCGTCGTCGTCGTTGCTGACAGAGTCTGACTCGGGGCTGACTTGCTCCCGCTCGACTTTATCCGGGGGCTCGCGGGCCGGCGAGCGCGAGGGGGGGTTGCTGCCGCTTCTGGAAGGATCTCTATCCTTCGGCGCGCTCGCCTGGGAATTTCGCCTAGTTCTCTCTTTAGCCTTTTTGGTTTTCTCTCTTTTGCTCTTTCCTTTTTTAGTACCGCTCGATTTCTTGGGTGTGTCTGAACCATGATTAGTGTCAATGATGTTTTGTACAGGTGCCTCGCTTTTTTCCGGACTCTCTCTGTTCGGAAAGCTCGGCTGAGCTCTGTTGGCCGGCTCCGCTGAGGAGGAGGTCCGCCTGGTGACCCTTGTAGTACTCTCCCTGGCCTGACTAATCTCCCTCTCTCCCTGACCCTCTCCTTCCCTCTCCACTGCCTCCCCTCTCTGCCCTTCCTGCTGTCTCTCGTCCCCCTCCCTTTTCCTGGGCCGCCCCCTACCGCTCCCTCTCCCCGCCTTCCCCGTCTTTCCAGCATTCAGCTTTCTCTCCATTCCCGATGTCATGACGGCATTCGATCTGCAAAGAGATAAAATTATCTCATCAAACTACTGAAGGGTCACTGAGCGCTTCGGGGCATTTTAAGTGAATCTTCTCGAATTCTCTTTTTGGGGATTAGAGTTTGAACGTTCTCTTACTCTCTTTATCGCTCCCTCTCTCTCTCTCTCTCTCTCTCTCTCTCTCTCTCTCTCTCTCTCTCTCTCTCTCTCTCTCTCTCTCTCTCTCTCTCTCTCTTCTCTTCTATATCTCGCTTTCTTTCTTTTACTGCATTATTTCAATCAAGTGCTCAATAGGCTGACTTAAATATGCAATTTGGGGCGATTAATCATCGAATGCATTCTTCTAAGGAAAGAATCTTGTAATCGATTTACTTCTCGTGCTGAATCCAAGTGCTGGGCAAAGAACCAATCCCAACATGACGACATCGTATATGAATGGCATATGTTCTTCTTTTATTCTTATCGGGAATTGAGAAAACTGAATAACTGGTGGAAGCTGACACTGGACATCAGATCACAAGCTGAGACTGAAAACCAGGTCACTGGCTGCCATCGGGCACCAGGTTACAGGCTGACACTGGGCTCCAGGGCACAAGCTGGAAACAGAGGCTGGAAGGGAACACTGCTGGAGATCTGGAGCATCACCATGTAGAAATTACTCTAGTTATGGTGACCTGAAGAATCGGAACAAGAAGTCTTAAGAGTAGTCTAACTATTTTCCGTATTTATGTTATGATCTAAATCAGTTAACGAAAAAGTGAAATACAGTTAATACACCTAACCCTAAAGGAAAACTTGCTATGAGGACGTGCCCGTCACTATTATCCAAACAGGTGAAGCCCATGCTGCTTATGTTACTTCGCATGGCCGGCCAACATATGCTATGACAGTGACGGGCACGCCCTCGCCTCTGTGAGCTATGAATGGTCATGTCCAGATCTCCCTCAGCTGTATTGGTCGACGCTGTCACATGAGGCAGTGCCACATCGCTGGAGGTGAGTTAACCATGGAATGTATGAGAACATGCGAGACATTCAGCATAGGAAATACGCACAACTAATGAAAGAATCACAACATAACCTTACGGAACGATTAACTGTCTAAATCCAAGTTTGGTGTACATCTTTTATGATTACATCAGACTACTCTTTCTCTCCTGTCCTACCTCCTTGCTTCCTCTCTCCCCACCCAACCCTATCTCTCCCACCATCCCTCTCCCGCTTTCCCTACTTCCTCCTTACTTTAATTCTGCTTATCTACCTCATTCTCTTTCCTTTCCTCTCCCTCTCTCTTCTTTTCTCCCTCCTTCCTCAATATCCCTCCCTCCCTCTCCCCTCTTTCTGTCTGTCTGTCGGTCTGTCCTCTCTCTCTCTCTCTCTCTCTCTCTCTCTCTCTCTCTCTCTCTCTCTCTCTCTCTCTCTCTCTCTCTCTCTCTCTCGTTCTCGCTCTCGCGCTCTCTCTCTCTCTCTCGCTCTCTGTCTGTCTGTCTGCCTGTCTCTCTCTCTCACTCTCTCTTTCATTCTCTCTCTATCTTTCCTCCACCCTCAACTATTTCTTATTTCTCCCTTCCTTCCCAATCTCTCTTTCCTTCCTATTCGCTTCTCTTTCCCACCGTCCCTCCCACATCCCCCTCCTCCCTTTTCTTTCTTTCTCCTTTACCCCCCCCCCCCCTCTCTCTCTCTCTCTCTTTCTCTCTCTCTCTCTCTCTCTCTCTCTCTCTCTCTCTCTCTCTCTCTCTCTCTCTCTCTCTCTCTCTCTCTCTCTCCCTCCCTCTCTCTCTCTCTCTCTCTCTCTCTCTCTCTCTCTATTTCTATAGCAATCTGTCTCTCTCTCCTCCCCCCGTTTTCTTCTCGCTTCCTCTCTCTTAGCATTTATTCCATGCACATACACATGCATCAAATAGATAAGAAGCAAGCACTTACATTCAAAATAAGAATAAAAATAACACATGACAATTTCATTATGCGAACTAAGGAAGGGGACAACACGTATTCAGTGGTAAAGCTATATAAAACAAAAAAACAAAAAAGATAACAGAAATTTATGCTCATGATAGTTTTGTTGATAATGATAACGGTAATAATGGTAATGTTAATGACAACAGTAATGTTGATAATAATAATTATTGTGATGGTGATATTATGCGTTACTGAAGAGAGAGAATTAATTAGTGACAGAGATAATGACTGACAGATAGACAGATACGTAGACAGAGAAAGCTAAAATTAGATCACGGCCTCATGCACTTACACCAAAAGATTTGTTATCAGCGAAGTCTGTCGAAAATTCTCCGTCCCTAAAAAACTGAAGATGGCGAAATATAAAACAAGAAGGACGTTAACGAACGGCTATCATCGCCCTCGAAGCACGGCTCGAAGAGAACAAGAACACGCCGACGAACGCAAGAAATCCGGGGGAAAGTAACGGGACTTCGAAGCGTGAGAAGCCATGCATCGGGAGGAGCGCTGAAGGCAGGCAGACGTCATGCAGAGCGCGGCGAGAGAATGTTGAGGTCGATAAAGTCACCAGCTCTGAGAGGCGAACAGAAGGACGCGAAGGATTCCATCTACGTAGTTTCATCAAGAAGGATGCCAGTCAATCCCTGAATGGAATACGATAGAAGAGGGAAAGGAGAGGGAAGGCAAGGATGGAAGGAGGGGAGGGAGGGAGGAAAAGGAACGGGAGAGGGAGGAGGCAGGGCAGGCGGTTTTTTAAGGTAACATGTGGGCGTTTAGTGACGAATGAGCTCGGCTTTGCTACCAAGGATGGGCGGGGCTAGTGCCAACGGCCGCGAGGAGAGGGGGCGGAGCCTCGCCGTCTCTGCATGCTCAACATGACCAATAAGCTCTGCGCACTTCCAAGCATGGGGACGTGCACGCATACCTCGCTCATCCGCACGTCACTATACAATTTCTAATACGAATAAACCGTGTCGGAGACCTTG